CCGATGTTGCTAACAAGGTGGATAAAGGACCTTTTGGGAAGTGCTTTAGTTAAGGCATCTGCTAGTTGAGCTCCTGTTGGAATGTGATGAACTGAAATTTTTCCACTTTCCACTTGGTCACGGACAAAATGAAAGTCAATTGCAACATGTTTTATTCGACTGTGAAAGACTGGATTACGGCACATGTAAGTGACACCAATGTTATCGCAAAAGACCTTAGGGGGACAAGGCAGCTTGACCCGAAGTTCTTGCAGTAGGTTGGTTAGCCAATTTAGCTCAGCTACAATACTTGCCACAACCCTGTATTCCGCTTCTGTTGAAGATCTGGCAACAATGCGTTGCTTGTTGGAGCACCAACTAATTGGATTCCTTCCAAGAAAAATAACGTAGGTTGAAGTGAAGTGTCTAATATCGGGAATACCACCCCAATTTGCATCTGAGTATGCAAGTAACTGAGAAGAGTTACCACGTTTGAAGTGAAGTTCATAGGTTATGGTTCCTTTTAGATAACGAAGAAGCCTCTTTGTTGCTTGCCAATACTTAGTTGATGGAGAGTGTTGGAATTGAGCGAACTTGTTTACCGCAAAGCATATATCAGGCCGTGTGAAAGTGAGGTATTGCAATGATCCAATGACTTGCCTATAAAGTGTAGCGTCTGCCGAAGGAGAACTGTCATCCAAGGATAAAATTTCACTTGTGGACAGAGAAGTGCTCACACTGTTTGCATCCAACATATTGAACTTGCTGAGTATGTCCGCAATGAAGCTACTTTGTGTGAGAGTCAATCCATGATCATTCTGGATAACTTCAACACCTAGAAAAAAATGAAAAGGACCAAGATCCTTAATGGAAAATCTATCACCCAACAACTTAATTGTTGCAGAAACTTGCGAGTTGTTAGAGCATGCAACAACAATATCATCAACATAGATCATAACAAAAATGAGAGAAATATGAGACCATTTGATGAATAAAGAATCATCAGATTTGGAACGAGTAAAGCCACATGATAAGAGGAACTTCTTTATTTCAGTATATCATACGCGTGGTGCCTGACGAAGTCCATAGATAGACTTGTGTAATTTACACACGTGATTAGGGAATTGGGGATCTACAAATCCAGGTGGTTGTTACATGAAAATGACATCACGTAGAGTACACTGTAAAAAGGCATTGTTTACGTCAAGTTGACGCCACGACCATTTAAGAGACACAACTAGGGACAAGATGAGGCGAATAGTTGTTGTTTTAATAACTAAACTGAAGGTGGAATGGAAGTCAATTCCAAGACGCTAATGAAATCCTTTTGCCACTAATCTAGCTTTATAACGCTCTATGGATCCATCAGGCTTGTGTTTGACACGAAACACCCATTTGCACCCAGCTACATTTTGAGAGGGAGTAGATGAAACCAATGACCAAGTTTTATTTTTAAGTAAAGTGATATGTTCTTTTGTCATAGTAGCCTACCATTCAGGATATTTGGATGCTTGACTAAAGATATTTGGGGTAAGCGGAATGTGTTTTACGGTGGAGGTTGCAAGGTAATCAAAAATCACTTTGGGTTTGAAAATATTATTTTGAGACCTAGTGACCATTCGATTTGATGGTGTATCAGGAGTTGGTTGTGGAGATGCATATGGACTGTTATTTTGAGAAGGAGAAAAAGACAAAGAATGTGTAGGAGGACTTACAGTGGAGCCGAGTGGCACGTCATCTTGATGGCCTTGAGTGTGCGATCCACGAGTAGACATGAAGTTGACTAAATCAGTAGTAGCAAGAATTGGAATTGGGTCTGCAACAATAGGAGGTGAAAGAGATTGTGAGGAAGAGGAAAAGTCGAAAGGGTCATCTGGACACAACCATTTTTCCATGTGCGAGACTTGTGGACGAAAGAACTAAGGATAGTTGGTTGTGAATGGAAAAATATGTTCAACGAATACAATATGCCTAGAGATATAGATTTTTAAAGTGTCAAGGTCTAGGCAAGCATAACTATTGGTGGCAGCGGAATATCCCATGAACACACAAGGATTGGACTTGGGATCAAGTTTGGTTGACATGTCGGGCTTTAACCATGAATAATAAAGACAACAAAAAACCCTTAGTTTAAGAGAGTTTGGGATAGTGTTAAAGAGACACTGAAATGGAGATTTAAGACCATGGTGTTGGTAGCCTGTTAATGAGGTAGACTGCAGATTGGAATGCGAGAGACCAAAATTTGAGAGGGACAGAAGCATGGTGAAGAAGAGTTAAGCGGTGTCCACAACGTGGCGATGTTTTTTTTCGGCAGTGCCAACTAGTTGGGGAGTGTATGGAGGACTTATAAGATGTTGAATCCCAAAATTCAAGAGAGTTGATTTAAGGCCAATGTATTCATCTCCCCCGTCAGTGAATAACGTTTTAATTCTCAATTGAAATTGGTTTTGAACTATTTGAACATAATTAATGAAAATTTCCTTAACGTCTGATTTGGATATGAGAGGAAACAACCAAGTATATTTCGTGAAATGGTTAACAAAAATAACATAGAATCTGAAATTATCAAAAAAGATAGTTGGAGAGGGACCCCAAACATCTGAGTAAACAACATTAAAAGGCCTAGAACTTGTAATTGAATTGCTATCAAACGGTAGACGATCACTTTTATTGCATAAACAGGAATTACAAAATGTAAAAGACTCGGCATGGTTCACTGGTAGGTTGAAAGAAGAGACAAGCTTTGGTAATACGAGGTTGAGGATGGCCAAGACGAGCATGCCATAGATGCAGTGATGGAGTTGTTGATGCAACAAAATGTGCTTGAGGACGAAGTGTGACTGATTTGGTCATGTCCGTAGGCCACTCATAGAGATCACCATTACTCTTCCCTTGAAGAAGACATGCCCCCGTGCTCAAATCCTTCACAACAAAAGAATAAGGAAAAAATTCAATGGAAGTTAGATTTTGCCTACAAAATTGAGCAACCGAAATCAACTTTTTTTTTTATAGATGGAGAACAAAGAACATTTTTTAAAAGAAAGTTAGCAACAAGATTAGGAGAAGATAAAGTAGTGTGACCAATATAAGTGATAGGAATTCTTTTACCATCACCAACAATTATCGCATTCGTTCCAGAGAACTCAGTTGGAGTCTGAAGAGAGTGAGAGTTGTTTGTAATATGATGCGACGCTCCAGAATCCACAACCCAAGGGCTTGGAGAATTGGAAGCATAAGACTAACGGTTGACAAAATTAGCATATGCTTCAGTAGCACTGTGTGATTTGGACCTACATACCTTTGCAATGTGACCAAACTTATCACAAAGTTGACATTGGACTCGTTGATTGTTGCTTTTGGTGGTATTCTGTTGGGTGAATGAATTGTTATTCGGGGCAGAAAATTGATTACGAGAGTTGTAAGAACCTGATGGAGGAGTGTTCCTACGATTGGAAGAGTTGGGCTGTCTATTATTGGGACTATTATTGGTGGAATGCTGATGAAATTGAGCAGTGATCATGGGTGTGTTGACCTTAGGTTTTGAATGTTTGATGAACATCTCTTGTGCAATGAGTTTATCAAAGAGTTCTTCGAATGTGATAGGATTATCACAAGCTCTTATTGCTACAGATAACTCCTTGTATTCAGGGCCTTAATGACAAGTTCCTCGATGTTAACAGGTGAACCACTGCATGCCAAATCATCTGCAATGGACTTGATTTCTCTCATATAATCACGGATTGAACGTGCGTCTCGTTTGACATTCGCTAAAGTATCGCGCAGACTGAAAATTCTTGAGTGCAATTTGCTCGCATAAGTTGTTTGGAGAATATCCCAAGCTTATTTGGCAGTGGAAGCATGGGCAATGAGGGGAGCGATTGTAGCGTCAACGGATGCCATAATGGCATTGCAAACAAGACTGTCTTGTCGCTCCCACAATCTCAAGTTGGGGTTAGGGATTTGGGTATTGTCTTTGTCCATAATGTGCGTAGTTGGGATAGGAAGTGAATCAACAACAAAAGTAAGAAGATCGTAGCCAAACAATAGAGTGGTAACTTGGGATTTCCAAGTTGGATAATTTGCAATTCTTGTTAGCTTGAAGGATAGTTGAGACACATGGTTAAAAGAGATCAATTGAGAAGGTTGAACGACACCCCCTTGATTGAGAGTGACTGCTGGAGAGTTAAGAGAAGAGGAAGTAGCAGGCATTCTGGAGAAAAAGGAGTTGGAATCTGGAAAAAAAAAAAAAGACGATCGAATATACTCGTCAGAGTGTTTAGGAGGCTCTTGATACCATATAAGAGTTGTATATGATTATGAAAGCATTAAGTATTATTGATACAATGTGTGGTATTTATACATGAACAAGTATAGAAGATAAAAGAGTCTGTTGAACGTAAGAGACCTAAAGAGAAGAGAAATAACTACGTATATGACTCAAACATACTAACATACTAGGACTCTATATCCTTGTCCTTATCAAGAATCTGGTGCTACAAGACACATTTCTATAAATAAAAATAATTTTTTTGTCATACATCCAAATTGAGAAAGAAGAAGAGATTGTTTGTTTTGGTGACTCAAGGACAACTAAAATTCTTGGAAAATAACAAGTTCTTCTAAACTCATATCTGGTAAAATTTTGACATTTAGTGATGTATTACATATTCCTGATATCCAAATCAATTTGATTTCTGTGGAATTATTAGAAAAAGATGGAATGAGGATCTCTTTGGAAGATAATAAGGTCATATTGACCAAAAATAATAATTTTATGGGTAAAAGATTTTGTAACTATGACTTATTTGTACTTTATGTGCGATAATTTGAGTAAAAATGCTTCTGCTTATATGATTGAGCTTATTTCTTTACGACATGTTAGATTAGGACATGTTAATATCTCATGTGTAAAGAATATGTGATCTTTTAGTTTAATACATATTTTAGACTCGAATAATTTTGATAAATATTAAATATTTAAAAGTGTGGGGGTTTCTTTCTAAAGTTCTTTTGTCGAACCTAAGAAGAAAAAAATAGGTTCTAAAATTACTGATTGCATGTTTATTGGAAATGCTGAACATAGTGTTGCATACTTTCTCCGTTTAAAAAAGAATAACCTACTTTCCTTTTTAGTCTGTTTAAAAAAGAATGATCTCTTTCCTTTTTTGGTAACATTTTAATTTCAGCTTTCCACGTGGCATGTTTAAAGCCACAAGATTGAAGGGCAATTTAGTACATTTGACATAACTTTAATTTAGGACCACAAGATTCAAAAATCTTCTTTACTTTCTAAAACTTTGTGCCACGTCAAACCAGGTCACTCTTTGTGAAACGGATGTTTGATATACTGTGAGTTTACGGTATTTTTAATACATTTCACTTACAAGTTGTGTGTGTCTAGGGCCTTTTTATATTGGTTTTTATGTGTTTTATCATGTTTTGCAGAAAAGGTGTTCAGGCGCGGAAGTTTAGAGACAGCTGAAGGAAATGCAGAAAAAGGCATCCACGGAGGTCATCTACGGACCGTAGGTCCATTCATGGTCCGTAGGTGATGACCGTAGATCAGCAGGCATGTGTTGAGGACAAATCAGGGAAATCTGACCAAGTGTGGAACCACAGTGCCCATTGACGGTTCGTAGATTGATCTACGGACCGTACTGTTGATCCGTAGAGTAAGACTGCGAGGGTTCCAGTACCTGATTTTTGAAGATACTAAGGATGGAGCTACGGAAGAGATTGACGGACCGTAGGTCGATCTACGATCTGTGCTGCTGGTCCGTCGTTTGCTTCAGAGAAGTTGATTGTTGGATGCTGAAATATTTTCTAAGTCCCGAGTGACGGAAGGGACTTACGGACCGTAGATCCATCGACGGTCCGTAAGTCAGTCTCGTGGATCGAAGACGCGTACATGAACAAAACTTTCCTTAATTTGTTTCCTTTTTTATTTAGGATTTGTTTTCTATAAATAGGACATGTAAACCTCGTTTTTGGGTTAGACACTATTATTCTATTTTTGCTTTGTAACTTTGGAGATTAATTTGCAACCCTAGCAATTATTGATTTCCCAAGTTCATTTTGAAGATTTTGGCTTTGCAATTCAAGTTAATTTTCTGGGTTTATTATTCTCTTTACGTAAGTTCATGACTTCTTCATCTACAATTATGAATTGTGTTCTTGCCAATATGAGTAACTAAATCCACAACTAGGGTTGTGGGAACCATGATCGATTAACAAAGTATGAATAGTAAATAAGCAATTCTTGACTAGTATTTTGCATGCATTGATAATTCTTTCGTTTAGAAGTCTTTTTAACGGTGGCCAATGTTAGAACTCGCCTTGTTACTACTTGCCGGACCAAGGAGGTAATTAACAAGAAAAGAATTATCAACATAGATTTAGTGTGATACTATCTAATAGGCTAATGTCGATTGGTGCGAAGTAATAACTAAGCCAAACATCGATTATGATGTCTAATATGAGGTAAAGGTAAGGGTTAGTAAATTATACACACGTATCCGGACCAAGGTGCGGGGTGAAATTCTCTAGATGCCGGACCAAGGATTTAGAGATACCTAACTTATCACTTTGCATGTAATACACTAGAAAATGATTGCTATTACTAGGATTACTGCGTTATGAGATTATGGGGAACACGCATACCCTAGTTATTTCTCTTATCTTGATAACAACCAAAGTTGAGTTTAATTATTGACTACTTATTAAGTTCTTACTATTTGTTTCACACAAGCACAACCCCCTTTTTTATTACCTATTTCTGGAAATAATTTGACTAATTGAATATAATTGTTGGTTAAAAGTAAAGTCTAAACCATTCTCCTCGTGGGATCGATCTCAACCTACAAGTTGGGTTCTTTACTTGATAACGATCGCTTATGCTTCTGAAAGGAGGTGTAATTTGAGCGTATCAAATTTTGGCGCCGCTTCCGGGGAATCTGGCTTTTAGATTTAGTTTTAACTACAATATTGAACGTTAGTCAAATATTTCCTAATTTTACTTTTTTTCATTGTTTTTGTCTCTCTCAGGTTCCGACTCTAGTGTATGCCAAGTACACGGAGCCAAGGCGAACCACTTACTCCGTACGATCCAGAGTTGAACAGAACTTTGCGAAGAATGAACAATCAAGGACTTCCAGTTCATCCTATCAGAGGAAATCTAGATGAAGCAGTTGAGTTACAGCAGCCAAGAGTAGTTGGTGGGGAAAACGGGGTCTAGTTGAAAATCAATTGGGAGATGCAGTGAGAGTGCATGGTCCACCAGGCCCACAACACCATGACAACTATCGGGGCAACGTCGACATAGCAGACTCCGATGGACCCATCGTCCTACCTCCTCTACCTCCAGGGCACACATTTGTGGTGACTAGTAGTTTGATGCAGATGCTTACAGCAAGAGGCTTATTTTCAGGATCGCCATCGGAGGATCCACATGCTCACTTAGCCAAGCTCAGGGTGGTTTGCAAAAGTTGTGTAGGTAGACCAGACTTGGATATGAACGTCATTGGGTTACGAGTGTTCCCTCTGTCACTGACAGGCGATGCTGCAGTATGGTTCACTGAGCTTCCTTATAACTCAATTTTCACATGGGACCAACTAGCAGAGGTATTTAAAGCAAAGTACTAGCCAGTGTCTAAGAAGCTCAATCACAAAGATCGGGTCAACAATTTTGTGGCATTACCTGGAGAGTCTGTGAGTAGCTCGTGGGACAGATTCACTGCTTTCGTAGGAAGTGTCCCAAATCACCGTATTGACGATGAGTCACTGAAGGAATATTTCTAGCGAGGACAGGATGATAACAATAAAGTAGTACTTGACACTATTGCTGGAGGTTCATATGGTGATTGTACCTACGCACAGATTGCTGAAAAATTGGAGAGGATCTCTCGCAACAATAAAGCGTGGAGCACTAGGAGGTCAGATACTGGGAGAAACACATTTGCTGTTCATAATGCTACTGTTAACTCTGCAGATGATATTCATGAGGAGATGACTCAGATGAGGACAGAGTTGGGGTTGGTATTGAAGCATGTGAGTGGAGGAGCAGAAAAGGTAAATGCTGTAAATTACTTAACTAGAACTCCACCACTAGTTGAGGAGTGTTACTATGAAGAGGACACTTATGCGGTGAACGATCAGACGGGGGGTTTCCGACCAAACGCCCAAGGATCCAACACGGAAAATTGGCGCCAAGGTCAAGGGAACCAAGGTCGGAACTATGGAAATTACAACCGAGAGGGTCACTATGTCCGAGATGGGAACTTCAATCGCGACAACAACTACAACAGGAACAACTATGGCAACATAAACGATCGGGTTAGACCCTATGTTCCCCCTCAAAATCGGAGAATCTGGTGCTAGGGAATTGGAGGTAATATGACACGTATTGAAGATATGCTGCAGAAGATGATGAGAAGGTTTGATGCTATTGATGAGAATGTGAAGGAGATGAGAAACGACTTATCTGGTATTGGTCAAAAGGTTGATGCCCATGCAGTGTCAATAAAGCATCTAGAGCAGCAGATGACGCAGTTGTCTACTACAGTGAACCCGCGGCAACCTGGCACTCTTCCTAGCAACACCATCCAGAATCCAAAGAATGATGGTCATTGTATGGCAATTACTACTCGAGGAGGTAAGCAAACCATAGATCCACCTATGCCGTCTACGGTGGATACCAAGATTAGAAAAGAAGATGATGTGGTGGAAGTTAGAGAGGAATCGGAGGTTGTGACAGAACAAGAAGTGGAAATACCTCAGAAAGTGGTCCCCATACCTAGACCTCCACCACCTTTTCCTCAAAGGTTAGTGAAGAAGACTGAAGATGGTAAATATCGCAGGTTTATCACTATGTTGAAGCAGCTTTCTATCAATGTCCCTTTGATAGAAGCCTTGGAGCAAATGTCTGGATATGCAAAATTCATGAAAGATATGGTGACAAAGAAAAGGTCTGTGAGTTTTGAAGATGATGATAGATTGCAGCATTGTAGCGCTATTGCTACAAGATCTCTGGTGCAGAAGAAGGAAGACCCTGGTGCTTTCACGATCCCATGTACTATAGGGTTATTACACTTTGCTAAGGCATTGTGTGATCTTGGTGCTAGCATCAACCTCATGCCTTTATCTATTTACAAGAAGTTGGGTCTAGGGGATCCAAAACCCACTGCAATGCGGTTACTGATGGCTGATCGGACTGTGAAGAGGCCCATAGGTGTGCTCCATGATGTGCTAGTGAAAGTACAGTCTTTCATCTTTCCGGCGGATTTTGTGATCCTTGACTGTGAGGTTGATTTTGAGTTCCCATCATCCTTGGGAGACCATTTCTTGCCACAGGGCGTGCGTTGGTTGATATGGAAAAAGGACAGATGAAGTTCAGACTGAACAATGAAGAAGCAACTTTCAATATCTGTAGATCCATGAAGCAGAATGGTGAGCTACAAACAATATCTGCTATAACTTACAGAGTGGAGATGGGTTAGAGGTGCAAATTGAAGAGCGATTAGGTGTTGAGGCACTAGCAGCAGTCATGATGAATTTTGGTAGTGATGGTATTGACGAGTATGATGAGTTGGTAGCCGCACTTGATAAGTGTGAATATGGTCCAAACCAAAGAAGTATGAGCTAGACATGAAGAATCGCGAGTCCCCACCCACAAGACCATCTATTGTGGAGGCACCGAAATTAGAGCTTAAAGCTCTACCACCGCACTTGAGGTATGTATATTTAGGCAAAGAGAATACTTTGCCGGTCATCATTGCAGCAGATTTGAATGCAAGGCAAGTAGAGTGTTGGTGACTGTATTACAGAAGTTCAAGCGAGCGATTGGGTGGACTATTGCAGATATTATTGGGATCCCCCCGGTATCTGTTCTCACAAAATCCAACTCATGCCAGATCATAAGCCCAGTGTTGAGCACCAGAGAAGATTAAATCCACCATGCAAGAGGTAGTAAAAAGGAGATCATCAAGTGGCTGGATGCGGGAGTTATTTATCCCATCTCAGATAGTAATTGGG